AGAAGAGAAGAGACGAAGGAGACTGCTGTCTCCGTTGCCTCCTGGGGCCCGCTCGCTGCTGCTGCTGCTGCTGCTGCTGCTGCTGCTGCTGCTGCTGCTGCTGCTGCTGCTGCTGCGCGAGTGTCTCTCCGTCCCCCCGCCCCCCCAAAGCAATTCTATGAGCCACAAAAATACACCAAAATAAAGAAGACTTACAGCAGCAGCAGCAGCAGCAGCAGCAGCAACTGCAGCAGCAGCAGCAGCAGCAGCAGCAGCAGCAGCATATGGGCCGCTAGCTGCTGAGGAGACACCACGGCCTCGAGGCGGTGTCTCCTTCTTGCTGTATCTGCTGTCTCCTTTTATATTTTTTTTTATAAACAAATAAATACATAAAAATATATATTTGTTTTGTTGTTGTTTATATTTATACATCTGTATACTAACTGTCTCCTTCTGTCTCTATCTGTCTCTATCTGTCTCCTTCTCCTCTCGCCCCTCAAGGCCTCTGTCTGGGGATCGTCTCCTTCTCCCCCGGGATCGTCTCCTCCCCCTTGTGGGGTCTTCTGCTCCTCCGCCTGGGATCGTCTCCTCCGCCCCCTGGGATCGTCTCCTCCGGCCCCCCTGGGATCGTCTCCTTCTCCCTGCGGGATCGTCTCCTCTTTCTCGTGGGATCGTCTCCTCTGCCCCCCCTGGGATCGTCTCCTCCGTCCCCCCTGGGATCGTCTCCGCGTCGTTGTGGGATCGTCTCCTCTTTCTTGTGGGATCGTCTCCTTCTCCCTGCGGGATCGTCTCCTTCTCCCTGCGGGATCGTCTCCTTTTTGTTGCGGGATCGTCTCCTTCTCGGCCTGGGATCGTCTCCTCCGCCCCTTGGGATCGTCTCCTCTTTCTTGCGGGATCGTCTCCTTCGCCCCCTGGGATCGTCTCCGTCTCCCTGCGGGATCGTCTCCGTCTTTGTGTGGGATCGTCTCCTTCTCTGTGTGGGATCGTCTCCTCCGTCTCCCCTGGGATCGTCTCTGTCTCTCCTGGGATCGTCTCCGTCTCCCCTGGGATCGTCTCTGTCTCCCCTGGGATCGTCTCCTCTTTCTTGTGGGATCGTCTCCCCCGCCCCCTGGGATCGTCTCCAGGCCCCACAGGCGTGTTTGCCACCTCTGTTTGTTTTTTGTTTGTTTGCGGTGTACATACAGCTCTTAAAGAGAATGAAGAAGGGGATCGTTGTCTTCTGTTTCTCTGTTTTTTTCTGTCTCTCTTTTGCTGCTGCAGCAGAGCAGCAGCTGCTGCTGCAGGGAAAGGAGACACCTGACGAGGAGACAACTGCAGCAGCACAGTCTCTCACTGCTGCAGCAGCTGCAACAAGTTTTGCGAACCTCAGCAGCAGCAGCAGCAGCAGCAGAAGCAGCAGCAGCAGCAGCAGCAGCAGAAGCAGCAGCAGCAGAAGCAGAAGCAGAAGCAGCAGCACAAGCAGCACAAGCAGCAGCAGCAGACGCAGACGCAGAAGCAGCAGCAGCAGCAGCAGAGGGGATGCTCCTGCAGCAGCAGCAGCAGCAGCAGCAGCAGCAACAACAGCAGAAAAATTTTTGTTGTGGGTTGCTGCTGTCTCTAGGGAGTTTGCTGCTACAGCGAGGCGGCTGGAGCTGTGGTCTCCGCTGCTGTATAAGAAGAGCAGCAAGACAGCAGCAGCAGCAGCAGCAGGAGAAGCAGCAGCAGCAACAGCAGCAGCAGAAGCAGCAAGAGACACGAGAGAAACACAAGAAGCACAGGAGACAGAGATAAAGAGGAGGTCAGAGGAGACAGATGTAGCGTTGAGGCGGTGGGTGTGGTTGCTGCTGCAGACGAAGCAGCAGCAGCAGCACCAGCAGCAGCTGCAGCAGCAGCTGCAGCAGCAATGGGATGCCCCTATAGCAGCACCTTTTGGTGTCTCCTCTGACGAAGCAAGAAAGGCAAGGGGAGCAGCAATTGCTGCTGCTGAGCAGCTGCTGCTGCTGCAGTCTGTGTATACTTTTTCTGCTGCTGCTAGACAGCTGCTGCTGTCTCCTTTTTCTCCTTATTCTTCTCCCCCTAAACTAGGTGACCTTGGTGAGGCAATGGAGGGGTTGCAGCAGCAGCGAGAAGCAGCAGCAGCAGCAGCAGCAGCAGCAGCAGAAAAAGGAGACACTGCGTCTCTCGATCATCTCAAAAAGACAGAGGCTGCTGCAGCAGCAGCAGCAGCAACAATACAGACAGAAGCAGAACTAAACGCGAGGGTCTCTCTAGGGTATCTTGCTGCTCTGCATGAGCTGCATGCACGTGCTGCTGCTGCTGTCTCCCAGCAGCAAAAGGCCCCAGTAAGAGAAGCAATACAACAGTGGAAGGAGACACTTCGTCAGGCTGAGGAGACACTGCACCGTCTCCGTTCTCTGCCTCCTGTGCAGGCCCCAGCAGCAGCAGCAGCAGCAGCAGAAACACCAGCAGCAGCAGCAGCAGCAGCAGCAGGAGAAACACCAGCAGCAGCAGCAGCAGGAGAAGCAGCAGCTGCAGCAGGAGAAACACCAGCAGCAGCAGGAGAAACACCAGCAGCAGCAGGAGAACCAGCAGCAGCAGAAGCAGCAGCAGCAGGAGAAGCAGCAGCAGCAGGCGAACCAGCAGCAGCAGCAGGCGAACCAGCAGCAGCAGCAGGAGAACCAGCAGCAGCAGGAGAAGCAGCAGCAGCAGGAGAAACACCAGCAGCAGCAGCAGGAGGAGAAAGAGAGACAGCAAGAGCACACATAACAATACGCCCACACCCAAAAGGAGACAGCAGCAACACCCCACAGCTGCTGTCTCCGCGGGGATCGCTCGCAGGAGACGATCCCCAGCAACTGTCTCCTTTTACACTCATAAGGGGAGAGGAGACACCCCCCCCCTCACCAGCAAGAAGAAGGAGAAAGGAGACAAGGCCCCACACACCAACACCAGCAGCAGCACCAGCAGCAGGAGCAGCAGCAGCAGCGGGAGAGGATATACCTCTCTCACCAGCAGCAGCAGCAGCAGCAGCAGCAGCAGCAGCAGCAGCAGCAAGAGAGGAGACACCCCGCCCTAGGTCCCCGCAAAGAGACAGACCCAGAGACCTTCGTCTCCTCACCAAACACTAAACAACTTTAATAACACATCATACACCACCATGCATGCATGCATGCATGCATGCATCTGTGTTGCATGCATGCATGCATCTGTCTCGCATGCATGCATGCATGCATGCATGCATGCATGCATGCATGCACTTGTCTCGCATGCATGCATGCATGCATGCATGCATGCAGCGCTGTTTCCTGTGCACAGAGTGAGCTGTATTTGTCCCCTTCTTCTACCTGTACGCCGTGTTTATGTGGGTTGGCTAGCTGAGGTGCTAGCTAGCTAGCTAGCTGGCTAGCTTATGATGCAGCTAGCTAGCTAGCTAGCTAGCTAGCTAGCTAGCTAGCTGGTTCTTTCAGGTTGCTGTGCTTTTGCTGTAGGGTCTGGGGGGCTGCAACAGGGAGGCCTTGCGGCTGTCTCCAGCTAGCTACTGTCTCTAGCTAGCTATCATATATAGCTAGCTAGTATATACAGCTAGCTAGTATGTATAGCTAGCTAGTATATACAGCTAGCTAGTATATATAGCTAGCTAGTATATACAGCTAGCTAGTATATATAGCTAGCTATTATATATAGCTAGCTATATGTCGCTAGCTGGCTCTTCCTCGCTGTCTCTAGCTAGCTAGCTACAGCTAGCTGCAGCTAGCTGCCGCTGAGTTGTTATATCTCGCTAGCTAGCTACAAATATGTATAGAGGTGTGTTGTTTGGTGTTGGTGCTGCTGCTGGTACCCCAGCAGCNCTAGCTAGCTACAAATATGTATAGAGGTGTGTTGTTTGGTGTTGGTGCTGCTGCTGGTACCCCAGCAGCAAGAAAAGAAGAAAAGGGTTTATGGTGGTTTGTGTGAGGGTTTAGGGTTTGTGGTTCTCTATACAAACCCTAAACCCTAAACCCTAAACCCTAAACCCTAAACCCTAATTAAATTTATTTCTTTCTCTCTAGAAACCACTTTGTTTGTTTATGTTGTTTTCCGTTTGGTCCCTCAACAATAATTTGTCTCCTTTTTCCTTTTTTTTGGTTTTCTCGGTGCTGCTGCAGCTGCTGCTGCAGCTGCTGCAGCCTTTTTGCATGCAGCAGCGCGGCCTGCATCTGCTGATAGGCAGTGTTGCTGCTGTCTCCTTCTGTCTCACTCTCTTCTTCCTCTTCTGCTGCTGCTGCTGCTGCTGCTGTTGCTGCTGCTGCTGCTGCTGCTGCTGCTGCAGCACGCTGCTGCTTCGGTTTCTTCGCTAGCTTCATCCAGCGGCACTCTGAGTCGCTGCCAGACTCATCAGATGTATCTGCTGCTGCTGCTGCTGCTGCTGCTGCTGCTGGCTGCTGCTGCTGCTGCTGCTGCTGCTGCTGGCTGCTGCTGCTGCTGCTGCTGCTGCTGCTGCTGCTGCTGCTGCTGTTCATCTTCTGTATCTGATGGCTGTGTCTCTTCGTCTTCTGAGTCTTGCAGAGTTATGTGTTTTTTTTTTGCTGCTGCTGCTGCTGCTGCTGTTGCTGCTGCTGCAGCACGAGAGAAACCTCTGCCTAGTGTTGCTGCTATCCCCTTTACCTTTTGCTGCAGTGTTTGCTGCTTGAGCTGCAGCAGCGCAGCAGCAGTTGCTGCTGCTTTCTGCTGCAGCAGCAGCAGTTGTTTTTTTGTTTGTTTATATTTGT